TAATTCATCCAGCTGCTTACGGCACGTCCCGTCACCGTATCTGGGGTGTGGGTCTGAGGTTTCTTGGATGTTCGTTGGGATCTCGTGGGTGGCCTCTCGGAGAGCCTCTTGGAGGCAGTTCTTATGCCCCTTGTGGGCCTTTTTGGGGACTCTTTCGGGCCTCTCGGGGGCCTCTTGGGGGTCTCTCGGGGGCCTCCTGGGGCCTCCTGGGGACCTCTTGGGGCGGAAGGCTCGATTTTCAGTTCGCGTTCCCTCGTTTGGGCCTCTGGTGGGGCCGTTTGGGGGCCCTCTTGGCCGTCTTGGGCGCTTCTTGTCGACGGCGAGCGAGCGGGGGGAAGTGAGAGGGGGCGGGCCTTTTCAAAAGGTTCGGCAGCCCCCCGCGCCTTCTGAGAGGCTTTCTCTGCGGGGAAGGGTTGGAACACTTCTCAGAAGGGGGGGGGGGGCTTCTGAACCTCCTGAAAAGTCCCGCCCCTTCTCACTTCCCCCCCTCGCTCGCCCCCGATCTTGGGCCGTCTTGGGCCGTCTGGGGGCGCTCTCAGACCGTCTTGGGGCCTTATTTGGAAGCCTTTTGGCATGTTTTGGGGTGGTCTTGGGGGCTTCGTGGGTCGTCTTGAAGCGTCGGTAAGCAGAAAAGGCGAGAAGGCCCAAGCCCTTGAGGCACCAGAGGCAGCTGCAAGTCGGTGTGCTTTGCCTCTGGGGGGCTCTCTTGGGGGAGCGCTCCTGGGGCTTCTCTGGGGCCTCACGGGCAGTCCTGGGGCCGGGAGCGCTCTTGGGCTGCCTCGGGGGCCTCTCGGCGGCCTGGGCGGGCCTCCCGGGCCGCCACGCAAGTCCTGGAGCCAGGGGCTCCTGGGAGCAGGGGCGGCGCAGTCCCCGCTCCGTGACCGGGGGGGTTCGAGTTGGGGGCACTCAGAAGAGGAGGAGGAGGAGGAGGAGGAGGAGGAGGAGGAGGAATTGCCAGGCAGCACTTGGTTCTCTCCCACGCTCCGGCGTGCCGCAGGCACGGGTGCAGATTGCCACCGGTTGTTGCCAGGACGCGCGCGCCGCGCACGAGAGGTGCCGTCTGCGCATGCATTCTGGGCGCTGCTCAGTCTTGCCCGCGCTCTCCCTCGGCAACGCGCAGAGGGGGGTAGGGGGAGGGGAGAAGGCTTCTTAGAAGCACCCCTGCTTCTTAGAAGGCGCGGGCCTTCTCTATAGACGTAAGGCCGAGGCCTTCTGAGAAGCAGGGTGCTTCTAAGAAGCCTTCCCCCCTCCCCCTACCCCTTTTTGCGCGCCGCCAACTCCCTCTCAAGCTGGCGAGGTTGTATGTGTGTTGTGGAGTGTTTTGTCGCGTCAGTCTGGGAGCTAACCTGGCAGGTCTCAGTTCACAGTGAGCGCGCACGCCCTCAGCCACCAGGCGAGCAGGTCCGCACTTTGTGCGCAGCTATCTCCGGCTGGCCAATTTCATGCTCTCCGTGGCGAGGCGAGCACGTCGGACCAACGCAGGCGATGCCAGCAAGTTTTTGTCGCTCAACGCCAGGTGTCCGTTTACAAACCTGGAGCTTTGAGACGGCGGTCATGGGGCGCCGCGCACGTGCTGTCGGAATGGGGGGTGTATCGGAAGGAAGTAGGAAAAGGAGGAGGGGAAGGAGGAGAAGGAGGAGGAGGTGTAGGAGGGGGGGATGGGCAAGCTCCGTCGGAAGGTCAGTGGCCCACCCCTCGTTCAATATCCTACCCAGAGTAGGTTGCGCGTCGCGAGCCACACCCTTGGCAAATTACACTCTTCGGCGTCGCCGCTGCAGGGCCCCAAGAGGTGCGCTCTTGCATCGCCTACCGAGCACAGGCAGCCCCCGGAGCCGCTGGACGGCGAGCAGTTTTCCAGCGACGGTGTCCCTTCGCACGCCGCCGCCGGCGAGCAGCTGCTCGACGTAGGCGCAGATCCTCTCTCTCTCTCCTCCTCCTCCTCCTCCTCCTCTTCCTCCTCCTCCTCCTCCTCCTCCTCCTCCTTCCTCCTCCTCCTCCTCCTCCTCTCCTCCCTCCCTCCCCCTCCTCCCCCTCCTCCTCTCCTCCTCCTTCTCCTCCTTCTCCTCCTCCTCCTCCTCCTCCTCCTCCTCTCCCTCCTCCTCCCTTCTCCTCAAGCACTGGCGAAGCGTCCCGGTGTGCCTATAGGCCCGCCAAAGAATGTTCTAAGATCCTTTGGTGGTTTGCACGACATGTTCTTAGAACATTTCTGGCTGGGGCCGCTTTGGTCTGAAACACAATCGGTGCTATGTTCTGAGAACAACGTTTTGTTCTTAGGACGTTTTGGGGTTCTAAGAACATGTCGTCGTAGGCCTGTAGGAATGCCGGGACGGTCGGTCCTTGCCCAACTTTACGGGAGTGGCACCCGAGTGGCGTCTTCCTGGGAACGTGCCACGGCACGGCCGAGCCCGATGCTTTCGGCGAGGGCCACGAGTGCCGCTGGCGTCCTTGCCGACCAGCTCACGCGTCCGTCAGGACACACGATCTTTCTCCTGCCTTGCTCGTCAGTTTGACGGCGAATATGACTATCTTTTTGGGGGCGAGCATCCCGCGCGAACAAGAGGTTGCCGCCGAGTCCGCTGCCAGCCTGCACCCTCCCAGTCCGCTGAGCCCGAGCAATTCGGCCGAGCCCGCCTGGAGGGCGAGCAAGTCGGACATGTCCTCCTACAGGCGGATTTCGGCAGACAAATGAGACGCCGACAGAGTATACTCAAAACTCAGCAACAGATTTCGAAGCATCGTCCCAAGACTCTTTTTTATAACAAGAAAGAAAGATGAATAATGTTCGACAATTCTTCCTGTAGAAGATACCCATACCGCCGCCCCTCCCTCGTTGGTCCCCTCCCTTGGGCCTCCAGGGAGGCTCTCGTCCTCATCGCTGGACTCGCCTCCGTTATTCTGGTCATAGCGCACCCCGGGAGAGGTTCGGGGAGCAGCGTTAGGTCGGGCATGTCTTCCTACGGAAAGAACATCAACAGATTAACCATAGGTTTTCAAACAGCCCAAACATTGTCAAACATAGCAAAGCAAACTCGTCACCTGACTTCTTTGTTTTTGTTCTTCCCGTAGAGAGACGGGCCCGACTTGAGAGCAGCGGCATCAGTACCTTCCGGTGTCCCCAGGAGCGCGCTGTGAATTCGGCCGAGCCCAGGAGCGCGCTGTGAATTCGGCCGAGCCCGCCTGGAGGGCGAGTGGCTCCGCGCGACGGTGGCCATTCCGACGATGCTATCACGGTGCTCTGCTGTGCATGGCCTTCGTTCTCCTCCTCCTCCTCCTCCTCCTCCTCCTCCTCCTTCCCCCTTCTCTCGCCCTCCCTGGAGGCCCTCGCCCCCACGGCCGCACTCGTCTCGACGTTCCGGTCAGGGCGCAGCCCCCGGAGAGGTCCGAGGAGCAGCGGCATCGGTGCCTCACGCAGTGGGGGCGCGCATCGAGAAGCCACATGCTTTTCGTCAGGGCATCCTGGGTTTCTTTGCTCCTGGCGCTGCGCGGTGGCTTCCCGCAGCCGCTGAGGGAGCTGCTGCGTTCCGGGTGCTCCAGGTTTCCCCTCAGGTGCACTTCGCGCACGGGTTCTCAGGGCTTGGTTTCTTGCGAGGGTTTCTTGCGGCCGCGCCCGCACTGTAGCTACCCCCGCTCGGGTTAATTAGGTCGGGCATGTCACACGGATCTTGGAAGCAACACTGAAACACAGTCGAAACATGGTCCAACCTGGCAAAGCAAGGAGCGGCACGTCGTCCCCAGACTGTACTGCTTCTTGCCTGCCTAGTGCTTCGGTACTCCTCCTGTGGAGGGGCATGCCCGACTTAGCACCTGGGAGGATTTGCCCCTGGGCTTCTGGAGCGCATGGCCTGCAGGGGGCCCGCCGTGCCGATGACCGCAGGGCGGGAGGCCACGGTGCGCCTCCCTCCGGGATGCCTGCCCACCGGTCGTTGCGAGTCGGTGCTTCTGGAGCCCCAGAGTCAGCCACGCGCAGGAGGGGGGTGGGAGGGGGAGGAGGAGGAGGAGGAGGAGGAGGAGGAGGAGGAGGAGGAGGAGGAGGAGGAGGAGGAGGAGGGGGGAGGGCTTCTTAGAAGCACCCCTGCTTCTCAGAAGGCGCGGGCCTTGTCTGCAGACGTCAGGCCGGTGCCTTCTAAGGAGCGGCCTCCTTCTAAGGAGCCCTCCCACCTCCCCCCACCACCTTGTGCGCGCCGCCACCATATTCCAATCTACGTTCCCAGACCCCATCGCGTTGTAAACAAAATCACGACGCAAAAGGTTTTTGCCATGTTCGGCCTTTGGAGGCCCTCACTGGGCCTCGGGACCATCAAACGACGCCCCAAACGACCGGGGAAGAGGTCCAGACCTTTCGGTCGGCGTAACGAAGAATTCATGACGTCGGGGGGTCTGGGTTCAGCGCCTTCCTACTTCAACAATGATCGAGTGGTTTCACCTCTTCAGTCCTCTTCAGGGGGCGGGTGGAAACCCAATCTATTTCCAACGCTTTCCTACTTCATGGTTCTACCTACTTCTTTCGACCGATGGGCACTTGCCCGCCGCTTCAGTGTTCTTATGGTCTGGGGAGGCTCCTGGGAGCACTCTGGGAGCCTCTTGGAGGCTTCTCTGGCTGCCTTGGGACGCTCTCGGCCCGTCGCACAATGTCTTGGGGGCTTTACGGGCCCTCTCGGGGTGCCCTGGGGCCATCGTGGCTGTCTCCTGGTCCGTTTTGGGGGCCGCTTCTGGGGTCCCCCTGGGCTATTCGGGGACCCGCTTGGGTCGCCGAGGGGCTGTAGGAGTTCTCTCGGGCCGTTTTGGGGGGCCATCTTGGGACCTTCTTTGGGGTCTCCTGAGCCGTGTCGGTGCCTCCGCCTGGGGCGGTTTTTGGGGCCGTCTCGGAGGCCTCTGGGGCCGTCGGTAGCCCGCAAACGTCGGTAGCGCAGGGATCCTTCGAAACCCTTGCGAGCATCAATGTCTTTGGATCTGTGGGCTATGCTGAGGCCTTTTGCTCTTGGCCCTTCCAGTGGGCCTCGCTGGCAGTGTTGAGCCCATCTGGGGCCGTCTTGGGAGCCTCTAGGCGCCCATCGCGGGCCGTCCTGGGCCCAGCCCTGGAGCCACCCTGAGGCCTTCTTGGGCCGTGTTTGAGGCATCTGGGAGCCGAGGAAAAGGCCCTCCTCCTCCTCCTCCTCCTCCTCCTCCTCCTCCCTCCTCCTCCTCCTCCTCCTCCTCCTCCTCCTTCTCCTCCCTCCTCCTCCTCCTCCCTCCGCCTCCGCCTCCGCCTCCGCCTCCTCCTCCTCCTCCTCCTCCTCCTCCTCCTCCTCTTGCTCCTGCTTCTCCTCCTCTAACCCTGCATATTCGGGCCATTGGGCGCGCGATCTTGGATGCCATCGGGGGCTCTCGCGCCCTGCCGGCGCCACGAAAAAAGGGGCCCTCCTGGACGCCAGGCTCTGGGGCAGGTGTCCGGGGAGGGGGCAGAGGGCAGGGGAGGAGGAGGAGGAGGAGGAGGAGGAGGAGGAGGAGGAGGAGGAGGAGGAGGAGGCGGAGGAGAGGAGGAGGAGGAGGAGGAGGAGGAGGAGGAGGAGGAGGGGGAGGAGGAGGAGGGAGGAGGAGGAGGAGGAGGAGGAAGGAAGGAGGAGGAGAGGAGGAGGAGGAGGAGGATGAGAAGGAGGCGGAGGAGGAGGGGGAGGAGGAGGAGGAGGAGGAGGAGGAAGGGCCTTCGAGGAGCGGGTCCCCGAAGCCACAGGGCTGTTCGGTGTGAAGCAAGGCGAGGCTGGGCGCCGCTGGACGGCGTCTTAGAGCTGTTGGTCGGGGAGGAGGGGGGAGGGGGGTCAGAGGGGAGGGAGGGGGAGGGAAGGGGAGTCAGAGGGGAGGGAAGGGGAGGGAAGGGGACGAGTCGGGGGAGAGAAGGGGGGGGAATAGGCGCCCTCCGGAGCTGCCCCGAGTCGGGGGAGGGAAGGGGAGGGAATAGGTGCCCTCCAGAGCTTCCCCGAGCTCCCCCGGGGGCCCCTTGTCTCCCTTCCCTCCCCTCTGACTCCTCTGCCCTCCCTTCATGGCGCCTGTGCGCCGTCGGTTCGAATGTGATAGTATGTGGAGCAGAGCATCTTCATGGAGCTGTTCGTCGGACGAATCCTTTTAACGTCCTGGGCCAGGGTCCCAGCCGATCACTTCTGGTTGAGCTGTTGAGCTCTCAGCTCTGCTCCGTTTGGTAGCCCACGAAGCTTAAGTCGGGCCTGTTCCTCTACAGGAGGAATATCCAAAAACATTCAACAACAAATAGTCTGGGGACGATTTTCGATGTTTTAAACCCGTTTTGAGTATTGCTTGATTGTTTTTGTTAATTTTCGCCCAAACTCCGCCTGTAGGAGGACACACCCGACCTAACACGAATATTACCTGGCATGATGCTTCTCTTTTGGTTGAGCACTCGAGCTCCCTCGCCATCGCGTGTACTCCCGCTGCCACACATGTTGGGATGGGGGTAGGGTCGAGGAGTAGAGGATGAGCGTTACCGCACATACAGTGCGACGGCCGTAGATTTGCCATGCCGTCTCCAGGGGGAGAGACAAGACGCGAAGGAGAGTCCTCAATGCTTTTCCCCCGCTGGGACTACGTACGGAGTCCTCTCGGGGCCTTCCTCGGCCGTCTTGGGAACCAGTGGGGTCGACTGCCGTCCGTCTTGGGGTTAGCTTGGGGCCGTCTGAGGCCCTCTGGGGCTGTCTCGGTGACTTTTGGGGCCCTCGTGGGCTCATCCGAGGCGCTAGAGACCCAGCCTTAAGTCGGGCCTGTCCCTCTACAGAGGGGATATTCAGAAAATAAAAAAGAAATAGTCTGGTGACGATCTTTCTGGCCTATGTTTGACTATTTCGGGGTATTTGTTGAGTATTTTTTGTTTTTTGCCCAAAATCCGCCTGTAGGGGGACACGCCCGACCTAAACCTGGCCTCCCCCGCTGGGATCCGGAGGGGCCCTCCAGGAGGGCCTCTTGGAGCTCTCTTGGGCCATCTTGGGGGCTGCTTGCTCTGTCCTGAGGCTGTCTTGTAATTGAGCCTTTTGGGCCGTTTTGGTGTCGTCTTGGTTGCCTTGAAAGCCGTCCTGGAGGCCATGAGGTCCCCCAGAAAGCTTCAAGACGGATCAATTGACCCGTCTTGGGCCGTTTCGGGCGGTTGGGAACACGAAGAGGCGAGGACCTCAAAACCCGAATAACACCTCAGGACAATAAATTATTTTGACTTCCTCGGGCTCTGTAGGAAGGCCCTCTCGAGCTTTCTTGGGCCGTCTAGGGGCAGCTTTGAGGCCTCCTGAGGGCCGTTTAGGGGCCCCTTGAGGCCTTTTTGTTGAGCCTCTTGGGGGCCTCTTGGGCGCCTCTTGGGGCCTCTTGGAGGCCTCTTGGGGACGCCTGGGGACTTGTTGGGGCGGAAGACTCAAATTGTCGGTTCTTGCTCCCCCTCATGGGTCCTCTTGGAGCAGTCCGGGGCTCTCATGAACTGTCTTGGGGCCTCTTGGGCCGTTTTGGGGCCCTCGTGGGCCATCTTGGGGCTTTCTTGGGAGCCTCTTGGGCCGTCTTGTGGCGGTCTTGGAGGCCTCTGGAGCTATCTTGGAGCGCCAGAAGCTCGAAAACGCGAGGACGCTCAACACACTGAAAAACACAAGGAACATACGTGCTGTTTGCATCTTGGGGCCCTCCTGCAGGCCCCCTTGGAGCGCTCTTGAGGCTTTCGTGGGGCCGCTTGGGCAGTCTTGAGGCCATATTGGGCGTTTAGGAGCGCTCTTTGGCTATGTTGGAGGCCTCTCGGACCCTCTTTCTTGAGGCCCTCTTGACCTTTTTGGGGCCCTCGGGTGAACAAATCATGAGCTGCGAGTGCGCATGCTCTTAGTCGAATTAGCAGAGCGGCGCTCTTCGAATGAGACGAGGAGCAATGAACGCGCAAATGTTCTGCTGCCAATTAGCAGAGCGGCGCTCAGCTAATCAGAGCCCGAGCAGGATGAGGGGGGGCCCTGCTGTGTGGCCAATTCGCAGAGCAGCGCTCTGCTAATGAGGGGAGGAGCATCGAGTGCGTCTGCCTTGAGGCAAATTCGCAAAGCGCCGCTCTGCTAATGGGAGCCTGAACAGTCCGAGAACATGGAGCCCCGGCCCCTGGAATACAAGAACGCAGGACGCAGGACACAGAGCGCATAAAGCACGGGGACACCTCCCCTCGCACCTCGCGGCACGGTGGCGGATTGCGTCGGGGCTCGATGTTGGGAGGCTGTCTCGGGCAGCCCTTTCGGTATCGTGTTGGACTGGGGCTCGATGTTTTGAGGATGTCTCAGGCAACACTGCCATGTTCGAAGGATCGGGTTCAGGATTATTGAGTTCCGTTGAGTTGTTTTTCAAGGTGCTATGTCAACATTTTGGTAAACGATTCTGTATGTGTTGACCCTGCCATGGCGATCTGCGTGAGGGGTGCGCCCAGTTTCAGGATGGTCGAGGGTGTCCCTAGCGACGCGGCTAGAACAATCTCCAACGGGGCGGGAATGGATCGCCTCGGAGCTCTATTCTTTCGGAGTGGTGCGTACGATATGTATATGTGTATATATATATATATACATGTATACCTGTATATGTAGATACATGTATGTGTGATGTCTGTCTGTGTGTATGCATGCGTGCATGTATGTATGTAGGTAGGTGTGTATGCGTGTATGTATGTATGTATGTATGTATGTGTATGTATGTATGTATGTATGTATGTATGTATGTATGTATGTGTGTATGTATGTATGTATGCATGTATGTATGTATGTATGTATGTATGTATGTATGTATGTATGTATGTGCGTATGTGCGTATGTACGTATGTACGTGTGTACGTATGTACGTATGTACGTATGTACGTATGTATGTATGTATGCATGCATGCATGCATGCATGCATGCATGTATGTATGTATGTATGTATGTATGTATGTATGTACGTACATACATCGCCCAAACAGTGCTTCCACTTCGGCCTTCTTACTTCTCCTCTGACAAGCTGTCCTGTCTGACGGTCTGGCGGCGATGTTGCCGCCGTCACCGCCCCGTCGCCGCCTCGTCACCGCCCACTGGCCCTGTCTGCAGGTCTGGCGGCTCTGTTGCCGCCGTCGCCGCCCCCTCCCCGCCTCGTCGCCGCCGGTTGTCTGGGCCTGCCTATTGTGCGGCTATGTTGCCGCCGTCGCAGCCCCGTCGACGCCTCGTCCCCGCCCACTGTTTGGGCCCGTATGTTGTTCTGGCGGCTATTGCCACCGTCGCCGCCCTGACGCCGCTGTCGTCGCTTGTCGCCACCATCCGATTCCTCTCTCGACGAGCATTAGGATCACCTCCCTCCACCCCCGGGCTTACCGGTCCCCCTTTTTTCGCATTGCAATTTGCATACGATTCTGCCCCATCGCCCATCCTAAATATGATTTCGTACCATCCCAGGCAGGCCGGCATCGACTCCCCCCTGTCATCCCTTTTGCTGAAAAATGCTGTGCGCGCGCGCGCTCGTTTTACAAATTATCCCGGCAAAGCAACCTAACAGCGATGTGTAAAAGCATAGCTGGAAGCATTGCCTATGGTATTCATGTAGGAGTGCTGGTGTAGATTTGTTTTTGTTCTCGCAGTCGCATTCGGATTCGCAGTGGCAGTCGCAGTGGCAACATCAGTCCCAGTCGCAGTCGCAATGGCATTGCCAGTAATTGCAGTAGCAATACCTACAGGAGCAGCAGCAGCAACAGCAACAGCAACTAGTAGTAGCAGTAAGAGTAGCAGTGACGGTAGTAGTGGTAACAGTGAAGTAGTAGTTGTAGTGGGTGCAGTGAACGAGAACTAGCATTAGAAACACTATTAGCAAGAGTAGTACAAACGAGACACTTCGATCAATCAGCCCATCTTCGAACGAGACACTGCTATCAATGAGTGGACTGTCGAATTACTCATCGTTTTCGAGAAGTGAATCTCCAAATGAGATGTCTGTATCAATTTATTAAGGTCTAAACGAGACGCTGCTATCAATGGGTGTAGGTCCAAACGAGACATTGCTATCAACGGATTGAGCCTCAAACGATACACTTGCATCAAGGGAAGTAGCCTCAAAACAGACACTCCTATGAATGAGTTCGAAGTCGCAGTAGTAGGAGTAGTATGGGCACGGACTCGTAAGACGTGGGTGTCCACCGGGGTGCTCGGCGAAACCAGTGATGATGATGATGATGATGATGATGATGATGATGATGATGATGATGATGATGATGATGATGCTGTGATGCTTGAGGAGGAGTGTGGGAGGATGACCGCGCTGGTTGGGTGTGTTGTGTCTGTTTTTCTCGCCTCTCAACCAACTCTTGGAAGACATTTCGCAAACGGAAGAGGAGCGCACGGAGGGTCGGCGTGTGAAGCGGACAGCGGGCCTAACCGGCAGGCTGAAAAGCAGTGCAAAAGCTCGCAGGCTGAGAAGCACCGCTGGCGCACAGGTGGCTCCGGGCATTCAAGATGTGGCCCGGGAATGGAGTTCTGGGAGGTCGAAGAGCACGAAGTGGGCCTACAGTTGGCTTCGGGCATTCAAATGTGGCCCGGGAATGGAGTTCTGGGAGGTCGAAGAGCACGAAGTGGCTTACAGTTGGCTCCGGGCATTCAGAATGTGGCCCGGGAGTGGAGTTCTGGGAAGGCTAAGAGCACGAAGTGGCCTACAGTTGGTTCCGGGCATTCAGAATGTGGCCCGGGAGTGGAGTTTTGGGAAGGCTAAGAGCACGAAGTGGCCTACAGTTGGCTCCGGGCATTCAAAATGTGGCCCGGGAATAGAGTTTTGGGAAGGCTAAGAGCACGAAGTGGCTTACAGCTGGCTCCGGGCATTCAGAATGTGGCCCGGGAATGGAGTTCTGGGAAGTCGAAGAGCACGAAGTGGCCTACAGTTGGCTCCGGGCATTCAAAATGTGGCCCGGGAGTGGAGTTCTGGGAGGTCGAATAGCACGAAGTGGCCTACAGTTGGCTCCGGGCATTCAAAGTGTGGCCCGGGAATAAAGTTTTGGGAGGTCGAAGAGTACGAAGTGGCCTACAGTTGGTTCCGGGCAATCAGAATGTTGCCCGGGAATGGAGTTCTGGGAAGTCGAAGAGCACGAAGTGGCTTACAGTTGGCTCCGGGCATTCAAAATTTGGCCCGGGAGTGGAGTTCTGGGAGGTCGAAGAGCACGAAGTGGCTTACAGTTGGCTCCGGGCATTCAAAATGTGGCCCGGGAATGGAGTTTTGGGATGTCGAAGAGCACGAAGTGGCTTACAGTTGGCTCCGGGCATTCAATGTGGCCCGGGAATGGAGTTCTGGGAACTCGAAGAGCACGAAGTGGCCTACAGTTGGCTCCGGGCATTCAAAATGTGGCCCGGGAATGGAGTTCTGGGAACTCGAAGAGCACGAAGTGGCCTACAGTTGGCTCCGGGCATTCAAAATGTGGCCCGGGAATGGAGTTCTGGGAACTCGAAGAGCACGAAGTGGCCTACAGTTGGCTCCGGGCATTCAAAATGTGGCCCGGGAATGGAGTTCTGGGAGGTCGAAGAGCACGAAGTGGTTACAGTTGGCTCCGGGCATTTAAAATGTGGCCCGGGAATGAAGTTTTGGGAGGTCGAAGAGCACGAAGTGGCGTACAGTTGGTTCCGGGCAATCAGACTGTGGCCCGGGAATGGAGTTCTGGGAACTCGAAGAGCACGAAGTGGCTTACAGCTGGCTCCGGGCATTCAAAATGTGGCCCGGGAATGAATTCTGGGAGGTCGAAGAGCACGAAGTGGCTTACAGTTTGCTCCGGGCATTCAAAATGTGGCCCGGGAATGGAGTTTTGGGATGTCGAAGAGCACGAAGTGGCTACAGTTGGCTCCGGGCATTCAGAATGTGGCCCGGGAATCGAGTTCTGGGAAGTCGAAGAGCACGAAGTGGCCTACAGTTGGCTCCGGGCATTCAAAATGTGGCCCGGGAGTGGAGTTCTGGGAGGTCGAAGAGCACGAAGTGGCTTACAGTTGGCTCCGGGCATTCAGAATGTGGCCCGGGAATGGAGTTCTGGGAGGTCGAAGAGCACGAAGTGTGTGACTGTTTGCAAAAAACGAGTTCGGACCCAGCTCCCCAGATGCCGCCTGGACCCCCCTGTGGAATCATTTGCTGTTTTCTTTTGACCCCATTGAAAACCTATCAGTCTTCGCTGTTAGGTAAAAACGTCAGTGTTCGAACATACTTTGCAAAAGAGGGACGATTTGTGCACGCGCGCGTCGTCGAACGCACATGCCGAAGGCTTTCAAAAACCATTGGTTTCGTAAGGATATCAAAATCGAGCGTCCAACAAATCGTCTCGCAACAAATGGTCTCACATCGATCTCACAAAAAATCATGCGTTCTCGCAGCACGGGATTTCAATGAACAAATTGTGCGCGCGTTGTTGCGAATGTTTAAGAACCCATTTGTTTTTTGTTTAAAACAAATGTTCATAAAATGCTGCCCAACGGGCTTCGCGCGCGCACGTTGAAATCGTTCGAACGCCCTTGTGCGCGCGCTGTCGCGAGAATTCTTTTTTGTAAAATATGGGACGAAGCGCGCGCTCATTGATCGTCGCGTGCGCTTGCCGGAATCCTTCAAGCACCGTCGGTGTTGCGAACGATTTCAAAAACCGAGTGCGCCGAAACCATGCGGTTTTTCAAGATCAATTTTCAAATAAGCTTGCGCTCTCGCCCTGTCGCATCCTTAGGCAGACATCCGTTGTTGCAACATGTTCATGGAAGTCCACCAAATGTACCCTTCGCGCCGCATGCGGAAATCATTCGAGCGCCCTTGCGCGCGTGCTGGGGGGCACGATCCTCGTCAAATACTACCTTGCGGTCGCTCTCGCACGTCGGCTGCGCGCGCGTGTCGATATCCTTCCAGAACCTTCATCACCGACGCGAAGACGCCATCATAGCCGCCGGCGTGATCAGCATCGGCGCCGTCACTGGCCGCGCCTTCGTCGCT